ATTTATCAGGGTTTTTCTGCCAAGAGAGCTAGTGGCATGTGTGTTTGCGAATGCTCGCTCATGCACAAATCACAAAAGGTGTGAAATTTGAGGCTAGTTCTGATAAGCACCCGAAATTTTGGATAGGAGATCTGCTGAAAATAACTTGTGTCAAACTTCTCCCCTTTGCATCCAGTCCTAATTAGTAATCCCACCGGCAGCATCTTTCTTGCAATATTTGGGCACTTCTGATTCTAGAAATCAGAGAAGGAAGGAAAACTATGTAGAACATTCCAGACTTTTAAATAAGAAGTTCATGCTCAGTTTCTTAATTATTCTCTATTTTACCTAGTTCCTGGTTGTGAGGAATCCATGCATGAGCTACTAATATTCATCTTTCCTTCCCAAGCTAGTCCTCTCTTCTTTCTCCCATTCAGCCACATTGCTTCCTGTTACAGTCTAGAAATGTTACAGCCAGCCAGAGAGGAGTTGGTTTCTTCACTGTGGGTGGATGCTCTCTCTCAGGGTATGTCTAGACTGCATCCCTCTGTCGGCAGAGGGATGCAGATTAGGCAGGTTGACATTGCAAATGAGGCAGGGATTTAAATATCCCATGCCTAATTTGCATAAAAATGGCCGCCGCGTTTTGTTAACTCAGCACTTTGTCGGCAAACAGTGGCAGTCTAGAAAGCCTTTTTCGACAGATCCTGTAAACCTCCTTGCAGGAGGCATAAGGGATTTGTCGAAAAAGACTTTCTTTCTCGACAGATTCCCCTCTAGACTGCCGCTTTTTGCCGACAAAGTGTTGCAGGGGCGGATGAGAGTTTTGCGGGGCCCAGGGCAGCACAATTTCACGGGGCCCCCCTTTGGAGAAAAAATAGAAAAAAGAATTGAAGGCTATTTTTCATATTAAATGTGAATTGGGTAAATTTGATAGAAACTTAATTTAGTTGGATAATTTTTATTTTAATTATATTGTAATTCATTCTTAAACAAAATTCTGCATTAATAATTAAAAATTTTCGTTTGTATTTAAGTCTATTATAGCTGTCTAGCTCTTTTGGTAGCACATTCTTCAATTATGTCAGTAAAGTCAATTTCTTTACACAGGTCATTTTCAATGGATATAATCGAAAGACCTACAAAACGCTCCTGGCTCACAGTATATTCTCTTTGGCTGCCCATGGCTGGTATTTGCCAGGCAGCGTTGGGTGTTCGGCAGCCAGGCAGCATTGGGACTTGCAGGGGCCAGGTGGAGTGTGGGTGTTGAGACTGGGGAGGGATAGGAGGCATGTGGGTGTTGAGGCTTGGGGGGGGCAGGCAGCGTTGGGTGTTGGGGGGAGGCAGCATGTGGCTGTTGGTACATGAGGGGCCAGGCAGCATTAGGTGCCGTGTGGGTGCTGGGTTTAGGAGGCAGGCAGCGTGTGGGCACTTGGGTTGGGGGGCAGGCAGGGTGTGGCTACGTGGAGGATGGTGCACAGATGGGCCATAGGGAGGACCAGCGAGCAGGGGTGTCTGACTCATCAGACAGGCCAAAATTACCATTTCAGCCCCTCAAACAGCTCCTGGCTGGGCGAGGGCAGCTGGCAACTCCCCCTGCTCCCAGGGACATGTGTGTCTGTTGGGGGGGGGCACTGTCTGTGGAGCTGGGTCGCGCTGTGGCCACGAGTGGGGGGAGGTGGAAACTGGCGAGAGGAGACGGAGTCTCCCTGGCGGGCAGGTCGCTCTGCCCCCGGACGTGGTGGGAAAGGTGTTTGGGCTCCCCCCCGGAGGAGAGACCGCACCACCCCCAGCCTCTCTCTGGGCGGGGCAAGAGGGTGGAGCAGTGGGATACCCGGGCGCCATGGCCAGGCGTAGCTCTTCGCCTCCATGGCAACAAGCTGCTGCCGCACGCATGCCACGGGCTAACGGAGCTGCTCATGGACACGCAGTGAAGGGCAACGGAGGCGGCGGCTCCAGCAGGTAAGGGCAGCAGCGGCAGATATATAGAAGGGCAAGTGGGGCTGGTGTGGGGCCTATTGAAGTGTGGGGCCCAGGGCAGCCACCCCACTGGCCCTGCCCTATATCCACCGCTGAAGTGCTGAGTCGGCAAAACGTGGTGGCCATTTTTATGCAAATTAGGCACGGGACATTTAAATCCCTGCCTCATTTGCAATGTCAACCTGCCTAATCTGCATCCCTTTGCCGACAGAGGGATACAGTCTAGACATACCCTCACTCTTGTATCACTATTTTAATTATGAAGCAGACACTTTTTCTGTTCTCCTCTCTCTTTCCTGGCTTCACTACCTTTACCAAATTCTGGGAATGCAGCATTAAGCAGAATGCAGAGCTGGAGTTTGCTTAAGGACTTACTGCATGCAAGATCCCAATACGAAGCGAGCAAACAAAGGAGTCACTAATGACAGCCAATCTGCTCCCATCCAGTTTGCAAATCAAACATTATTTACTTACCAGTAAGTGCCTAATTAAAGGATCTGAGCCACAGTAGCAAAAGTTTCACAGGGACAAAGGCTTCTGTCATTTCAAATGGAAATATGACTTTTTATTTTGTCAAAATGACACTAAAATAAAAAAAAATTAAAAGTAGGAAACAGAACTAAGAATCCCAGCCTGTCCCCCAGTGGCACTGAATTCCCAAAGGCCATAGATGCTATTTGACAACCTGTCTTTCTAGGGCAGAAGGAAGCTGATCCGAGGCCAAGAATTATGATGTGCCATGATCCTGATTTTGTAAAACTCTCATTTGCCTGTTTTAAAGCAAAGTTTCAATTATTCACACATGAGTGGGCTAGAATATTTCTGCTTAGCTAAGTACATATATATCCCCATCACAGCAGCATCTAAGTATTCTATCTGAATGCAAAGAGTTTTCAAGAATGCTGTCTAAAGATTCGTTACCTATTGAATCCTCTCCCAAATGAAAATATATTTTTGAAAGAAAGGAACACTGTCTAGGTAAAAATGATTAAACCCCCAATCACAGACAGTGAACTAAGAAGAAAGGTAACCATCAGGAAAGAGCAACCATGCAACTCAAATCAGGAGTTTAAAAAAATGTTTATTTTATGTAAGAGGACACAAAGGGTATGTCTAGACTATATGGCTCCGTCGACGGAGCCATGTAGATGAGTTTACTAGACATAGGAAAATGAAGTGGCGATTTAAATAATCGCCGCTTCATTTACATCAAATGGCCGCTGCGCTGTGCCGATCAGCTGTTTGGCGGCACAGCGGGACAGTCTGGATGCGCTGCAGTCGACAAGGGAAGCCTTTGTCAACCACTCTGTTATGCCTCGTGAAATATAGTAAAATAAAATATATATATTTATAGTAATATAAAAATGTGATCCCTTGCCATGTCTCCATAGGAGATATATTCTAGGATGGAGACAGATCTTTCCTACTTTTTTTAGAACCCTTTAGTATCCTTTGTGGCTAGGAAAATAACTACACTTAGGGTATATGTCTACACTGCGTTCATCTTTCGAGAGAGAAATGCAAATGCAGACAAATAAAATTGCAAATGAAGCGCGGATTTGAATTTCCCATGCTTCATTTGCATAATCGCGTCCGGCTGCTTTTTCGAAATACCTTATTTTGAGATAAAAAATGCTGTTAGACACGGTTATTTCGAGAGAAAAAACCTTCTGCATCTAAACAGCATTTTTTATCTCTAGGGTATTTCTAAAAAGCGGCTAGCCACAATTATGCAAATGAAGCACGGGAAATTCAAATCCTCACTTCCTTTGCAATTTCGTTTGTCAAAAGAGGAATGCAGCGTAGACATACCCTTAGATATTAATTAACATACACTCAAAACTTTATATAAATATTAAATAAAACAAGACTCAGGGCTGAATTCTGCTCTCAGTAGTATGTTCATGAAACTGGAGTAACTCCACTGCCATTGGATTGTTACTATTATTATTAGTGTTCGATTGGCCCCAATAAGGTCCAACCAAGATCAAGGCTCTGTTGTGCTCTGCTCTCTACATGAACATCATAAGAGACTGTGCTTTTCAACTAAGAGCAAGCACTTTTAACAGAGAAGGAATAAGGATGGAAGAAAAGATTATTATTATACCTATTTGACTGGTGGGTGTTGTACTTAAAGAATTGCACAGGATCTTCTTAAGAGGGATAAAGCAAAATGCCACATTTATTGGTAATACATCATTATTGTATAATATGCATATAATATACTATAATCATGCAGTCATACACACACACACACACTCCATCTTGTCGTTGCTTAGTTATCAACTAATTGCTCCCCTTACCCCCACTGGCAAGGTGAGTTAAATGTGGGAGGGAAAGTGAAGACTCGGGCTTCTGTTGGTCTGGACCGATGCTCTGATGTTGACAAGATGAGACCCGGGGTCCCATGCAAGACACCCCACATTTATAAGAGCTTCCCTCTGATGTAAATCTATGTGCTTTAGTTGTGTCGGTTAGTTCTTAATTAGATCTGTGATGCCTTCTTCGGGTGTTATCCCCAATGCTACCACAAAGAGGGTATTTGCTTTTAACTCCTAGTTTGCTTCAAAAGAGGGTGCTTGCTTCTGACTCTCAGGCCATCCATATGTCTGATCCTTTCACAATGAGACCATTTGACAGTGTCTTGGTGTCGTTGGGTTTGGCTCCTATTCTTCCCGTTTTCAACTGTTGCAACTGTTAATCCTTCCAAGTTGTTACCTTCCTTTGAAGGACCCACAAAGGTACTTGCCTTTCTCGCCTCATTCATTCACGCCTCATTCATCAAGAACAGAACCACTTTCAAGTCAAAGGGGTAAGATCTATTATACTTCTGGAACACTTCTATTACAAGGACATTTTCTTTACCTTGATTATTCCTAAGGACTATAAAACATTATAAGACTAATACAAAGTTTCTATAAAACATTATAAGGATTATACACAGTTTCCATGAGACATTGTAATACAAAGTTTCTATAAGATGTTATCAGACTATTTATCCACATTGGGAGCCAAGGGGCAGAAAGCTCAATGTTACTTACCAAGGTCAGACAGCAGGTCTCCTAGGTAGATCTAGAACTGGAACCCAGACCTGCCAAATCTCTATCCAGTGCTTTTAAAAAATCTTCCCCTGGTGTAAAAAGAAGAAAATGTGGCCCTTCATTCCTAAAACATGGGGATGGGAATCAGACAAGGAAGGGTTATTGTCTCACCCTTAAGAACTGGGACTTTGGATCCGAACACAATTCTTCCCCATTGCTAAATTTCCTAGCAGCCTTACCATATCTATGATAACGTATTCCCTCCACCCTATTTTGTTGTTGTTTTATTTTTACTTTCAGTTCAGCTGCAGCTAAGTGCGGAAAGCGTGGGTGAGGTATATATAAAGAGCACTGAGTCTGGACAGTTTTTGGCTATGGACGCCAATGGACTTTTATATGGATCAGTAAGTATGAGGTTGATGTGGTACCAGACATGGAGAGTTTTGAGGTTAGCAGAAATCTTGTAGCACTGAGTAATATAACCCACAAGCAATATTTAGTCTCTGTTATTTTTGCAGCTTGATCGCCACTCTTTACACAACTTTATTTTTGGAATAAATAAATAAAAAGATTGTAACAGTGGCCCAAAATATTTAACATGTTGTAGTTCATATTTGGAAGCAGTAGCAGTACAGTGTCCTTTCAGCTTCCAGTTTTCAGAACTGGGCCAAAACGTATCTCTTACCCATAGACTGCTGTGATGTTTGCAATTCCTTGCTGCCAGGCTGGCTACTGTCCTGTTTTGTAAACTCCCTTTTCTTAGGACATACCATGTTGGATTAATCATTTTGTGATACATAGTTGGCATTCTGGATTAAATCTTCTCAACCCCCTGAGCCTCATGGCAAACCAAAACTCCCCAAATCTAACTGAGTCTAGATCACTGCATTTGGGTACAACAGTAATGGGCTTGCTTATGCCATTCACGCTCACAGTGGACACTTGGAACTCTTTTTCAGCTGTCACCGAGTGAGGAATGCTTATTCTTGGAAAGAATGGAAGAAAATCATTATAACACCTACATCTCCAAGAAGCATGCAGACAAGAACTGGTTCGTTGGCTTAAAGAAGAATGGAAGCTGCAAACTGGGACCGCGGACGCACTACGGCCAAAAGGCCGTCCTTTTCCTTCCACTGCCAGTGTCAGCTGATTAAGAAAAGTATCCCGGGTGCCATAAAAATACCCCGAGTCTTAAGTCCCAACTACTTTTCCTTCTCTCTCTCTCTTTCACTGGGCAGTGTGACAGCTTCATTTTAGACCCAGACATTTTAAATCTAAATGCTTTAAAAAAAATAGCGCAACTTAATTTTGCACTAACCAAGTTTAATGGGGAGGTGAGGAAAAGCTTGTAAAGCAATGGGCAGGCTGTCCCTCCACTGCATTCTTCCAGACAGGTCTCCATTGTCATACCCGCACAATAGAAAGCATGTGTGAGGCATGTTTGAGGCAAAATGTGTGCACTGAAAAATGCAAAATGACTCCAGAGAATATGCATAAACTCTTGTTTCAAAGGGACCAGACAGGTACATTATTGCTCTAAACTTATGGCTTACTGTAACACTAACCAAGAAGTTATTACCAGGGGAATATATACATCTAGGGAGAGTAAGTGCAAGTTCTATATTCCCATAAAAGTGAAATTCCCCTGGAATACATAGGTATTTTCATGTAATCTAGATAGTATCTAATATACACTTCAAAAAAATTAAAACTGCATTAGTATGCAATTTGTCAATTGAAAATATAATCAAGAATGCTGCAAATATTCTACTTCTGTACAACTTAACTATGACACGTGCTCTTGAAAACTAGACATCTAAACCTGTCACATGCTATGGGTTGAACCTCTCTAGTCCAGCTCTCCCTGGACTTGACTGGTGCTGAACCAGAGAATTTGTGAAACCATGGGAGGTCAATATTGTCTAGCAACATTACCAACATTTCCACTGCTTACTGGGCTCTTAGAAGACATTAAGAGGTAAATTAGAGCTAAAGAACAGCACAGAACACGGAGAGCCAGGACTGGTGGCTGTAAACAAACTTCATGGGTCTGTGGGAAACTTGCCTACACCCATGATAAGTAGACATCTGGTTAACTAATATCATGCTGGAACACAGATGTTGCTGGACCAGAGAGTTCTGGACTAGATGGATTCAACCTGTACTAATCTTGCTATTTCTTATTAATATCCTTCATATGAAATGTGTATTTATTATGTGACTGTGTATACATTATAAAGAGTTCAATAATATTAATTATAGACAGTCAAAGCCAGTTAATGTTATCTCAGTGAGGATGCAGATGGAATGACATGGGGATATATAATTTTGACAAGGAAGTCTAGAGAAAGGTCATGGGGAAAAGGGAAGTAGGCAAGAGACTATATTACCTAAAACAATTCACCATTTTTATTTTGTCCCCAAAAGCTAATTTTCCATTTGAAAGTGTAGGTCCACACTGAATGGTAGAATTGTGACACTGTAAAAATGGGAATTTCAGTAACTTCCCTATAAAGTGTGCTGAATTTACTAATACAAAGTTATTTTCTACCTGACAACCCCACAAATTCAGTCTGGGAGCTGACAGCAAATCAGGTTCTTCCTTTCTCATGCATGGCCACTAGTAATGGAGGCTCTGCTGGTCATATTCTCCCTTAATTGACTTGGTCTGCATAGCTGTATCTTAACTGGAGGATAACCCCTCTCCATTTATAAAGCACAGGAAGAAATAGAATCCAGTTCACTCTCCTAAACTACATAATTAGATTGTTTTGACTGTGTCAATCAAAGGTGTGAAAAATCTCCTCCTCTAAGTACTGTGCTTAAACTGACCAAAGTCTCTATGTAGGTGCTGCTAGCCCAACAGAAGAATTCTTTGGTCAATCTAGCTACAATCTCTCATGGAGTTGCATTATCTATATTGATGGGAGAACCCATGTGCTGTGGCATATTATGTATATGCAAGCTCCTAATCTCTGCCATTGCTATGTCTAGTCTCATTTCTATATTTCTCTGATCTGGTCTTGCTCCCCTTGAAATCCATGGGAACAGATTCAAGCACTCACACCAGTGACTTTCTTTGCTACAGGGTTAGCTTGAGGACTGTGCAAATGAATCAACCCCCTTCCTTCCTGTTGGGAGATATCAACATCACTGTGCTTTGCACCATTAGTGGATTCTGTAGCTTCTCTCTGAGCAGAGTTGCCATTGAGAGTGAATGCGAATTCTGCACACAGAACCCCTAGAGAATTCATACCAACACTGGCGAATACGTGAAATATATACAAAGATTTGTTCTAATTTTGCAATTTAGTCTGCAATTCCAAAAATTTAATAAGGCTGCGATTCACTGTAGTCTAGACAGACTATGGTGCTAACGTGATTTTCACCCAAAGTGTCTTCTCTCCTTCGTCTTCCGAGACATTCTGGGTTCTAGACACATCTATGTGGCCCATACATCCTAAGCTTTCCGTTCACTTTTCAGCACTTCCCTTCCTATCACTTACACCTGTAAAGGCTTCAGTTCTATTTAATCAACATTAAAGGATAGACTAGGTCCCTAAACTATTTTAACCCTTTACAAATTATTTGTTTAATGACTCTAGGTGACTAGGGACAAGTACTCCTGGTACATTAAACATCTGGAAAAATAGGGTTTATTTTTATTGTTTATATTACAAATAATATAAATTGTGGAACTATATGTCCACTGGTTGCATTAAGACAATGCATCTAACATTTGGAAGAGGAACCTAACACAAATTTGAAAATATTTGGTCTAAGTTTTTAGAAACCTTTGATTAATTCTTAGCAAATGGAAACCCAAATTCTGCTCCTTTCCCTCCTTTCTTTTCCTCTCCCATTCTTTTACCTTTCTGTTCTTCCTTCATCCCACCCTGGTATCCTCTTATTGGGGGGGGGAGGAGGAAATTCTTTCATTAAAAGACAGCTCATCTGTTCTCCTCCAGCCTAAAGCTGCAAAAACTATTAGTAATAATATTTAGCACATTTTCAGAACTGCCAACGGAGATAGGGGAGTAACAGGGGCAGTTGCCCTAGAGCCCAGTAATTCACTATTGCAGCAGTGGTGGCGATTGGAGCCTTGGGCCCTTTAAATTGCTGCTGGAGCGCCACACCACATGCTCCATGTGGCTCTGACAGCTGTAGGGGGAGCAGTGGGCTGGCTACTCTGGACCCACCCCTTCCAACTGAGGCTCCGCCCCTTCCAGGAATGTGGAGCCAGCACCTCCCAACCTTGTCCAGGGGCTCATGCAAAGTTTTGCATACAAACCTTCTGAGATGCCATAACAGGCTAATTTCCCGATGCTACATGGAATCATAGGAATCATAGGTCAGGAATGGACCCTTCTAGTCAAGTCCCCAGAACTCAAAACAGAATCTCTTTGCATTTGATTTCTGGCTCTGCCAATGTATCCATCTACTGCCAGGTGGACTGTAGCAGAACCTGAATACACAAATTCATTTTTGTTGAAATGTACTATACCTCCTGAAAACGTCAAGACAAGGCCCGCAGTGTCCACTAATTAGATATTATAATCTATTTTTTTCCACTTTACTTTTAACACTGCCAAGAGACACACCACTATCCTTCCCAGAAATGGGTGTTACCTCCAAGGTTCCTGCCGTCACTTGAATGTTTTCAATGACACACTTTGTTCCTGAACAAACATGACTATGGGATGTTCTGTTACCCAGGAACCATCTGTTCCAAAACCAGCAGTGCAAGTTTGTGATTCTTTCGGCCTGATTTTTTACTAATAATATTAAATTAGTGTTATAACAAACAGGGGAGCTGACAGCCTCACCTGGCCCCTGGGCAAGGTGAAGGAGCCCACTCCATGCTTCAGGAAAGGGTGGGGACTTGGGTGGAAGGGGTTGGGACAGCCAGCCTGCAAAGCCACCCAGAGCGCCCCACACCATGATCTGGCAGTGATTTAAAGGACCTGGGGCTCTGGGCACAGCCACTGCTGTAGCAGCGATGACAGCAGCCAGGAGCTCAGGGCCCTTTTGTATCACCAGGCCCTTGGGCAACTGCCTCCTTCCCCTTCTTCCTCTGAATTGGGGAAGGGAGAGAGAGGGAGGGAAGTGCTCTGAAACGAGTTTCAGAAACAAGTGGGCACACTTTTTCCACAATATTTATGAAAACTTTCAGAACTCACTTATCCGTGTATCTATTTCACTTGCTACAATGCTCATAATGATGAACTACGCTTGGTATAGAGTGATTGTCCTTTGCCTTCTGATCCACCATCTATTCTCCCTTCATAATGTCCCTCTTTAAAGTACATCTTATGGGATGGAATAGTTTCCTCAATGTGTACGGGTGCACATACATACACATATCCCTAGGGATCAAGAGCCTAGAACAGGAAATCTTTGGCGCCCTTCAAAAACAGCCCACGCAGAGGCTTATTATGGTCCTTACATGTGACAAAAATTCCTGCAGTCAGAAATGTTCCCTCTAAACTTTTCCATCCTGTACAGATTTTTTCCATCTATGTGCAGAATAATTTGATGTGCACAGAGGCATGTGTGTATGCGTACCACTAGAAGAAACAAAACATCTAGGTGTGGGGGCATTTGAATCTCTTCTGAGCAGCAGCACAAGTGCCCAGCTTATAGGAACACTGTCAATCAGGTTCTTGCTCAAGCACAAGATCATGTACAAAAATATTTCCAAAATTGCATCTCTTGCAACTGCAATATCTAGATATGCATGTGACCCGTTAGAAGCGTAACAGAGCATTTGCTTACAGGAAGACTATAACTATGCACAGTATGTTCATATGCAATTTTTATGTAAAAGATACTGAAAATTTGGCCTTTTAGGTTTAGTAACTCAAAATGTCACAATCTGATTCATGAGAAAACAGGGAGATGCTCCTTAGCTTAAGTCTTTTGTATTTGCTCTTTGGATTAATCAAGAACTTCATGGTTTGATTTTCAGAGGGGTAGAGAATCTGCAATAACTCTCTCTGTAAATAAGGCCATATCCTGGGCTGTGAATCAGGACAGGTTTTGGTGTGTATATTAAAAGTAAGCTTTGTTGAGATGGTCCAAATATATCGGGAAAGCATGCATCTATTTCAATAGCTCTCTCTTGAGTCAGCCGTGTTCCTTACTCAGGTGTCAATTGAAGGGGAGAGTAGCTCCCGTAGGGCTTTGTGAAAAATCCACTTTATGTATTTCTCATGGCTCACATAGGGTATGTCTAGACTACGTGACTCTGTCGACAGAGCCATGTAGTTTATACATACCCAAGGCCATAATGTCCTGGAAGTGCTGCTCTTGTTAATGGGTGCTGAACTATACAACAGCTTGCAATTATACGAGTCGCATGCATAGTTGAAGAGCTGCACACAAGTGCACTGTTTGTGTTATAGGACAGTGTAGAAGCAGCAAATAGCAGCAAATAGCTCATATTATCATTGATGAAGACGTACGATGTAAATATCTCCAATTTGTATTGATGGTGGGTGAAGATTAAGAAGAGTTTAAGTTTCACTGTGACTGAAAATATCACGCCTTGCCATATTTTTAAACTTAAAAATTCCTTATAAAGTTTTCTTCCCTTTATAATCAATATACTCTTATAATTAACACTAGCCTGATAAAGATTTTTCATTGAATATTCTTTATGCATATTTGCAGGTAGGTATACTGATTAATTGGCATATGCAATCTGCTCAAGCCAAGCCACAGTGTTCTTATCAGCAATGTTCAAGGCATGCAGACTTCCGGGAACAAGTCATTTTTCAATCTTCAACCATGCATGGCTGGATAGTCGCCAGGGGAGCCAACAGCCTCCAGAGGTCCCTGGGCAAGGTGCGGGTCCCAAGGTCCACGTTCCCAGAAGGGGCAAGGCTGGGGGCAGCCAGCTCTCCACTCTG